TGCAAAAGAAGTGCCTAAAAATTTTCATTTTATCGTTTGTAAATCAACTCAAAAAAATAATTATAAAATAATGTAATTACATTTTTAAATATTTTGTGTTATTAATAAACTTGTCATGTTCAATGACTATAGTCATATCATATATGTATGATAAAAAGCATGGGGCGCTTTTTGGTTGCGTTTCTTTTAGTTAATTTCGACAAAGCGCATTACGCTTTTTAGCATAGTCATTGAATATTAAGAAGTGACAAGTTTGTTAATCGCTCAAAATATTTTAAGTACATATATAATTACAATACTTTATACTTTTTTAACTTTTTCAACAATTATTTATTTTTTAGTCTTAAAATTTAGTTAAGTAAATTGGTTTGTTAGTTACATCCGCCATATTTAAATTAGAATGACGTCACGTACGTAAGGCAGAATACGTATTCTGCTTGAAAACCCCTTTCATTTGATACCCATATCAAGGGGGTTGTAAAGAAAAAAATAATTCACCATCTTGGAGTGGCAGCCATTTTGAATAAATTATAATAAACAGTATACACAGTGCGCCTCTGTAAAGTTTAAGTTTTTTTAAAAGACCACCCAAATTTTTTTCTTGTTGATTATAGTGGACCATCCTCTCATTACATACCACTAGTCACCTAAATCGCAGCTGATCCTTTTTGAAAGATTTTTAGCTCTTTAGATTTTTTTTATTCTTTTAAGTAGGTATTTTTATAAAATTCAATTAATTTCCAAACAACTGCTGGCTTTTCTGGCAGGCAGATGGATAAAATTACAAATGTTATCAGAACATCGGCAGGAAAAAATTCAATACCCAGTCAATATAGAAAGAACCTCGCGAAGAAGTCGATCTCGTATTTTGTTTAAATACTATAAAGAAGTTCTTTAATTTTGGAAACCTCAGAGGGAAAACTCCCACGGACAGTTACTTATGCAGATGCAAGTGACCTAGTAAACGAAATTTTAGAAAGGAAACATGAGTTTGGCACACCAAATGTCAAGGTTTTGTGCGATGGATGCCAACATTTTTTTTTAAATATGTCTGTCCATATTTTCAGAAGATCCAGAAAATAAAGAGAATGAAATTTCATTGCGTTCGAGGAATTCAGATGGAGGCAACGCTGCAAAAAAGGAAAACTTATAGGTGTTAAGAGACTGATCATCCTCTGTATGGTTCCTGACATCAAAGAAACATACGAAAATCTTAACTTACTTTTTGACATGGTAAAAATAAACAAGATATCCTTTAAATTTCTTTCTGACTTTAAAATAATTCTAATGGTTAATGGCTTACAGACAGCAACATCGTCCTACCCATATCCTTATTGCTACGTCGTTAAAAGAACTTCGATCATACAGTGAATATCACAAAGAGTTGACCTCCTATGGAGATAATACACTACATTTTAATAAATTTGACTTAATTTTTGAAAAAAACTTAAAACGTGGAAATGAATCTTTTAGTACTATCAATAAAGCCATTTTCAAAGAAGAAGTGACGTTTAAATTATCAAGAAATGTATTATTCCGGAACTTCATCTTTTGCAAAGATTTGTTAATCATTTATTTTTTAAAGGACTTGTACCACTGCTAGGCAAAAAAAACGCATTAAAATGCCCTAAAAAGCTACACTTAGTCACGAAAAATTATCAAGGAGAACTTTTTGAAGGGAATGCCTGCAGAAAGTTGTTGAAAAATGCAGAAGATTTAAAGTCAAAAGAAATATTAGTCAACCTGGAAGAAGTTTATGTTATACCATTTGTTGTGGCTTTTAACACAATGAATGGAATTGTTGGTTCAGAGCTGCTTTGTACCTTAAGTGAACTGAAGGCTGACGTGTCACTTTTGAAAGCAGTTTTAAAGGGCACAGGAGTCTCGCAGACCCTTTGGAGCATCTTGTAGAAACGGTTCAATTTTTGAAAACTGGGTTGGGTCTGTGGTCGAAACAAGCTGGTGAGTCTGTTCATCGAGAATTTTTGTTAATTTAGAAGAAATACAAAATCAATGATATAAATGACCTGCGATACGGACAGTAGTGTTATAAAGAATTTTTGCTCTTGTTTGAAATTGTTTTAAAGTTTAATTAATTTTTGTATTATTTGAGTGTAATAAATTTGGTATTTTGATTTTGTTAATGACTGTCAAGTATAGTGCAGTGTATTTGATATATTTTTTAATTTTCTTATTATAATCTACAAGTATAAACTGATACATATATATACAATAAACCGATTTTGTCTCCATTTAATTGAATTTTATAAAAATACTTAAAAAAATCTAAAGAGCTAAAAATCTTTCAAGAAGGATCAGCTGCGATTTAGGTGATTAGTGGTATGTAATGAGGGGATGGTCCACTATAATCAACAACAAAAAAATTTGGGTGGTCTTTTCAAAAAACTTAAACTTTACAGAGGCGCACTGTGTATACTAGATTGTTCTGTCACCAGAACAAAAAGTGTTCAAAATTTTAGAACAATCGGTTGGGTGGTAAGTTAAAATCGATTTCATAGATTTGTTTACTAGTTAGTTAGTTAAAAAAAGGGAGCTGAGCGTGTAAAAACGATTAAATTCAATTGAAAATTTTATTTTTTTAGCTCTTACATTTTTTAAAGTAAATCACGTGATTTTAAAATTAAAAAAAAGTTTCGACCACACATTTCGGATTTTTCGCCTCTGTGGGCCGTACCGGCCCCATGGCGCCCCCAATAAATATAATATAAATTTAATTGATGCAATTTATTATTTACCATAGTTTATTGAGAAATTTCAAATTTCACTTAAAAATTCAAATTAAGCAGATTTTATACCATTTTAAATTTTTAATATTTCTGTTGCATGGAATATTTTATATGATTCTGAGCAAATTTTTGACCCTGATTTTAAATATGTTATTAGTTTTTCTGTATCAGCTCTAATTTTTAAAGAAAAAGATGCATTTACCGTACAAAAATATTTAATTATAAAAAACTATATACTCTGGAATTTTATTTTATATGATTTTCTACTCTGGATACTCCATCAAAAATCGGCCATCATATGTGCATTTCAGCGACCCTGGAATCGTTCTTCCATAGTCCAAATATCTTGGTGGAATCGTTCACCCATTTTTGGGAAAGTGATCTAAATGGCTATGAAGGAAGTGTACTTTGATGCTCATGTTGCATCCAAGTCGCTGGAAGTGAGACAACATATCCCATGCATTTTTCTCAATTTCTGACATTGAACTGCTGAAATTAGAATCGTTCACCAGTATGAATTTGTGGGCCGTTAAATATGCTTGCCTTGAGCTTTTCTGAACTCAGCTTTAAATACTTGAAACATTCACCGTCTTTGTTTAGTGCTTTAACATATTGTTTCATTAGTCCAAGTTTAATATGTAGAGGTGGCAATATAATACGAACTCGTGACACAAGATGTACATTTATAACATTAAGGCTACCTGGAACTAGTGCTTCCTTAGAAGGCCATTCTTTTCTTGTCCAATGTTCTGATTTAGCTCTGCTATCCCATAAACATATAAAGCAGGGATATTTACTATAGCCGCTTTGTTGTCCTAAAAGGAAATTAACCTTCTTAAGATCAACGCAAATTATCCATTTATGTTCGTTATACTTTAACTTGTTCATGACTAATGCAATTGTAGGGTATTCTTCCTTAAGTTTCGTTGAATGTGCGATCGGTAAGGAGCCCACTTTATTTCCAATATTCAATAGTACACACATCAAACTGCGTTTTGACGAGTCGATAAATAAACGCCATTCGTTTAAATCATATTTCTGTAAACCCATGACAGTCATCAAACCAGAAATATCAGTGCAATACACAAAATCATCCTCTTCGAAAAAAGGAAGTAAGTTTTTTTTCTCGACTGCGGTAATACGAAACTTTAGTTTAGTTAGATGTCTCTCTTTCAACCGGGAAGCTAGTAATTCGGAAGAAGTTTTAGACAGTCCAAGGTCTCTAATTACATCACTAAGCTCGTTTTGATTCAATGGTCTTGGTTGGTAATAATTTTTTGGAATCAAGTCGTCATCGCTCACGCAGCTTGGATCGTTCAATTCATCAGAACTTTCTTAAGATGTAGATGGTAGTGATAAAAGTGGACCTTTCAAACTTCAAATAGGCCTAACAGCTGATGTTGATGAGGGGTAAATCCATTTAGAGCGGTTCGTCTTGTTGATTGATTCCTGTAATATTCACAACACAAAAATAGCAGTCATCGTGATGATTTAAATGTTCACGCCAGATCATTGGAGTTTGGAACTTAAAAGAGGGTCTCTTCTTAGTGGCCCATAAATGTAATTCCTCAACACAGATTTTGCATACAATACTGGGCACACAGTCCAATGGAAAACCATAACATTCCAAATACGCTTGTTTCACAAAACACACTCAAACGAATTTTTTTTAAAACATATTTACTACAAATGTTACAAAAACAATTTGGATCGTTAATGCAGAGCCTTCTTAATAAAGACATGATGGAAATTACATATTTATGTAAAACTCGCATACGTAATAGATATACTTTATGTAAACAGACTTAATATGAAGGCATTAGCTGTATCTGAAAAACTCGAGCTGCTACAAAAAAACTGACGGTCGATTTGAAATCAGTGACCTTGAATTACCGTTTAAATACTTCATGCAACAGAAAAAAACTTTGATTTTGTTGTGTTGTATAATTAATTTTATTCCTTGCACTCAGGTATGGGAGCAACCCATGTTAATAAGATGTTTAGTAAACATTTAATATACTAAAATAACGTTTAGTGGGCTCAGTCATTGACTCTGTCGCTAAGAGTAGCTGCATGGATGCGGTTGTGCGATCTGCTACGATAAAAAATAACGAATATACGATGTTTGAAATGATGTAAGCAAGTCCCTGTATATTTTTTGTTGTGGGTCATTTATGTTCTTTGTAAATTAGTGTTTTTGATGCAAATAATACTTTTTAACCTTTAAGTTTATCACTTATTTATTTTTTTTACCTGGACAAAAAACATTCAAGGCTTTATCCCTTTGAAGAATTCTATCATCATAATATAAAGCAGTTATCAAATCTTCTGGTTGACTAACTAGTTGAAGGTATTTTGGGTCGTTAAGTTGGTACATATGAAGGATATGCGTGGCTGTTAGGCAAAAGTACTTATTTTGTACCTAAAATATTATTAAAAAATTAAATAAAACTAATCGTTTGTTTTATGTGTACCTTTAAAAATGCATTTTGCACTGTTTCTGATTTTGGATCGCCATTTTTGTACTCTTCTGCGTATTTGTAACATAGTTTTGCAGCTTCCACCTGGTCAACACCTACAAATTTTTTTGGGGTTAATTAATTCCATCCTTTAAGAGCAAAGAAGGTAATTTTGTAAATTTATCAAAATATGGTTATATGCTGGTAAATGCTAAAAAATTTAAATGATAGAAAGTATGGGTCAATCCACTTTAAATTTCGTTTAGCCTAAAATTTTTTTTTCGTTCATGATACAAAAAATACTTTGATTGTACTTTTATTTAAACGCAACACATTTCTAGCACTAACGTTGCTCCAGCATTAAATTTAATAAAAGACCACAAAGACCAAAACCACCAAACAATCTACCTCACTAAGAAGTAGTCAATATCAGTGGCGGTTCGTGGTCAGTCAAAGTAACAGGGGCGGATCGTTGGCTTTGGGAGTCATGGGGGCCTATCAATAATAATTATTATAAATGTATGGACCATTCCAAGCCCATGGACAGGACACATCAAAAACATGTCTAAATATATTCTTGTTACTTCCTTAAGTTTACTTATTTTTTCTACGAGTATTTATGAGAAGTATTAGCCAAATTTGGCTAATACTTCTCGTAAATACTCGTAGAAAAAATAAGTAAACTTAAGGAAGTAACAAGAATATATTTAGACATGTTTCTGATGTGTCCTGTCCATGGGCTTGGAATGGTCGGTATATAAAGGGTTTTTCAATAAGAGTGATATGATTTCTTTCTTAAATAAAGCTTGTCCTACAGAGCTGAATACGGTGAGTCCAATTTTCGATCACTTTATTTAATAAATTAGGACCTATTTGTGAAATTTGGTGTTCAATATTTAATTTTAATGCCTAAATTGTTGCTGGTCTTATTCGCATATACCATTCTTGCGTCATAACAATTTTGTAAGTATGCAAGCCCAAATTGAACCGTAAAATATACCATGTTGTTGTAGCAGACAGTCCCAACTGTTGAGAACGTCTTGGAATTGATAAATTAAAGTCTTTATCAACACTTGCCCGAACGGCAGCAACATTCTCTTCATTTCGACCGAAACTTTGTAAAGAACCCAGATAGCACAAGACGTACCCTGGACGTCCATTTCGGGTTCCACATAGGTCCGAACGTCCCACACCTATATCGGAAGTTTTGGGTACGTCCAGTCACTTACTTATTTAGGAAAATTAAAGCGGATATACTCGGTACGTCCCAAGGACGTAATTTTTGTTTTTTTGGCAATTAAAGCATGGTATTTCCAAAGGGTCTAAGTGTCAAGTTGGCTAAATAATATATTATCATTTAAAAATAGTTTGTGTCATGCAGAATGACTTCCAACATTTATATTTTCAAAATATTTGTTTTTCATTGATAACTCACAATTTTATTTTTGTCACTTAGACCCTTTGGGAATACCACTCTTCAATTCTGTAGAGCTTGTCCAATAATCCCCAATAAAGTATTTCAGGACGGCCAGAGGATTTGGTAACATCGGATGTCCCTGGTATGTCCTGGGGAAGGTTCAGGACCTGATTCGGACGTACTCGGTACTTACTAATGTCTGATACCAGATATACTCAGGACGTTTCCAGTACTTCTTTGTCCTATCTGGGAAATATTGCGTTCAAAATTTTCCACAGTTCGACGAATAGCGAGCACACTAGGCCGATTATGACGACTGTAATTTTGAAGATAAATTGCAATATAAGAACGATTATTTTGATAAAAAAAATGGATTATTTCCATAAGTTTTTGAGAAGTGTATTTTTCCATGATTAAATTGCACACCTTACTCATAGATAACAAAGCCTTACTTTATATAACTGACAGTGACAGAAGAATTTGACATTTCAAATACGGCCACACTCTCGATTTAAAAACATATTACCTCTATTGAAAAACCCTTTATAACAAAACAACACATTCTTACGTCAAAAAACAAGAAAAAAACTCTTATTCGTAATAATATAAATGTATCAGATAAATAATATAAATAAAACATTCTAGCATTTATACAAGGTGTCCCGATAAGACAGGCCAAATATTTCTTGGTTTAGAATAATTCGACTTAACCCAACTTACCTAAATAAAAATTTCTCGGTTTAGCTGCTAGCGGCCTTTAAATTATGTAAAAAAGAGTATTTAATACTGCAGTTCATTACACTAATTAACAAAAATCGACAATTTTTTTCTATAAAATGTAATAGCCTCATGAGCCTGTTAAAATATCACCCATTAATATTAATGGTTGCTAATCTCGATTTTACATTTAAATTAAGTAGGTACATGAGATTTTTTTATTTTGGAATTATATAACTTGCCCGAACTGAAGTAGGCTCTTAAATAAGAATTGTCAAGAATCAATGATGAGATGATGTAGGCTATGGAAGGTTGAAAGTTTGCATTTAAGAGAATAGACACAACCTTTTTGACGTAATCTTTAACACATACCTAATATAAATTTCAAATGAGATGTAATGGAAAACAATTGTATGTATTAAATTTAAATTTTTTGTCAAAAAATAACAAATTATTGTTAATTTCAAAAACGTCCGGTTCCCGCGTGTCGCCCTTTATAATACATATAATATTTAAAAGATTAAAATAAGCAAAATCTTTAATATTTTTATGAAGGCTAAGCTTCCATTGTCTCCCCTGAGCCGCCACTCCTCAATATTGATTTTAAAATATCGATTTTATCAGTCCTAAAATTTAATTAAATTACAACTCCGTAATTTTATTACAAAATATTAAAATACAAAAACGACGAGCGACAAAGTTACTTTGCTTTCTATTAAGTTACTAACTTCTTCTTGGACATTTTCCCATTCCTCTAAAGCTGCCTCGATTAATTGGTCAGAGTTGCCAGGGATATTTTGACGAGCTCTAATCCTTCTTTTAACCATATCCCATAGGTGCTCAATTGGATTAAGATCCGGTGAACAAGAAGGCCAATCTAAAACAGTTACACCTTCCATTTCTAAATATTTTTTTAGCAACTCTGCTTGTATGTGGAGGTGCATTATCCAGCATAAATAAAAAACAATCGCCAAAAGCACATCTCCAGGGCCTTATTACGGGTTCTAGCACTAAATCCACATACCTTGGACCTGTTAGGGTTTGTCTAATGGGTATCAAAGGAGTTTTTTTACCAATCATGATGCCACCCCAAAACATTACACTTCCTCCTTTGTATTTGGGGATCGATCGGGCAGCTCGGAGTCTAGCGTGTCTCCTACGACCTCTGATTGTAGGCCAATTCTGGTTTCATCCGAAAATAAGACATTTCGCCAATTTTCAATTGTCCAGTTTTGATGCTCTAAACACCAATTTAAGCGGCCAACTTTATTTTGCACGGATAGTTTTGGAACCCTTAACTGTCTTCTGCTAAATAATTCTGGAGCGCGAAGTCTTTTCCTGACAGTTTAGACCAAAACACTAACACCTGTAGCTTGCAAAAGTTGTCTTTGAAGCTCGGGATGGAATTTTGTGGGATTTATTCTTGCTATTTGTGCTAAAAATCGGTCCCGGCCTTCTGTAGTGACTTTTTCACGACTTCTCCTCGGCCTATTTTTTAGGGTTCCGAACTCCAGAAACCTTAAAAATGTTTTTGAAACAAACCCCTGTGTAACCCCCACTGTTCGTGCATTTTCCCTTTGCGATATGCCCTGTTCTGACAGAGCAATAATTCTACCCCCTAGACTTCTGATAACCCCACATAAGGCATTTTTAATACAATTTACAAAAATAAGCAATTTTACCTCACTAACGCTTTAAATCGAAACAATGAAATTGACTCTGAACGAACAAATCTTATGACGTTGATTAATAATCAAACGGTTTTTGTTAATAAAAACATTCGTATTTTATTTGCTTGTAATTTTTTTTCATGAAAAACAATTGTTTCTTGCGAATACTGGGTGATAACATATAAGTTTGGTTGTGTGTATATATGTATATATATATATATATATATATATATATATATATATATATATACCGTACCTTCATTTGCAAGCTAACCATAGGGAAAATACATTGTAACTGGACCAGATAAGTCTTAGTCAGCACGAAGCGAAAAACGTTGTAGAAATGATTTGGACGCGTGGACGAGTAGGCTAGCATGCGCCGTAACAGTTGACCTTGCTTCATACATCGATGCTTTATTATTGTTTTTTATTTTGTGCGGTGTAAATCTGGTAAAATTTGTTTTAGTACGCATGTCTCGACGACGCATCCAAATCATTTCTGAAAAGGTTCTCGCTTTGTGTTGACTGCGACTTATCTGGTCCAGTTACAATGTATTTTCCCTATGGTTAGCTTGCAAATGAAGTTACGGTATATAAATATATATATATATATATATTTATATATATTAGCCAAATTTAAATTTTGACTAAAAATTTGATATGGATTGTCCCACATAACAGTTAACAGATTTTTTAGTATATATAAAAGGTAGGATAACATTTTTTAAAGGACGTTCAAAAAATAAAATTTAAAATTTGTTAATAATAGCTGTTTTTGCGGAACTAATCCTGAACTAGTTCAACATGCGCATTTTAAAATTTTACATGGGCATTTTTTATTTTGAATTCGAAATTTAAAACTGCGCATGCCTAGGATGTCCGAAACTGTCTCGGGATTAGCTTTGCAAAACAGGTAATAACAAAGTTATGATGTATTTGTTGACAGTTTGTATCAACAAATCAAAACTTGAAATCGTCCACCATGTCAACGCACACAGCGTATCAGTGTCCTGAAGATGGAAAACGTACACCTTACCATATTCTTAAAATACATTTTCTTGCAACTCACCTTTTGGCGTATTAACAAAAAGATGATAAATCGCCGAAGACCTCTTCTCCAAATTCGAAATATGCTTAAGGCACTCATCAATTTCACTCCACATATCCTGATGCCTTACAATCATCCATTCTGTATAAGCATCCTGACTAAAAACACCACTATGGACCTAGAAAACACATTTTGAAAAACCTTCAAAAAACACTTACAACCTCCTTACAATCTCCTTAATAGCAACACTGCAAATATCATCCCTATTCAGCGTCTTTACTAAATCTATAGCCCCGAACCAAGATTTATAAGTCTTCAAATTTAACTCTGAACGTATAATATTGAAAATATTGCTGCTGAATAGCGAAGGCGAAAAAGGTAGCCTGAATTCAGAAAATGGGTCGAGAGCTTGCACATCAGGGAATGCGGTGTACCACTGCTCGATTTCTAGTTGGCTGGGCGGGCTAAAACGCCTGTAGCCTTTGAGAAAAATGAGCATCAGCCAGTTGCTGTTTCTTTCGCGTTTTTCCTGAAGGATAGAAGTGATGTTCAGGATGCACAAAAGGACCTCATAGTTATAGCAGTTGACCTGAAATGTTTTGGGCTATTTGGTAATGTTTTTTTAAGTTGTGTCCATGGTGGTTTTACAGTCTTGTATGTCATTATATTAACCTTAGCTGCCTTATTTGAATTGTTTTCATTTCAACAGTTTTTAAATGTGTAATATCTCAGCCAATTGGTTTTAAAATTTTAAAGCTTTGAAATTCAATTTTTTAACCTCAATATTAATAATCATTGTGATTTTAAAAAATCTTACAAAATTAAAAAAATACAGGGTGTCCCAACTTGCGCCACAGAGAAAAAGAGAACGTGCCGTGTGCTGGATCCAGCACTGCGGATCCGCAAATAATTAACTTTCCAAATAATGGCGCAAAAGTCTACGTTGACAGCGTCGCCGCTTTGCTGGGGGCGCTAACGCCCAAACATCCTCGGCGGTAGCGACCTTACCGTTTTGTCACGCTTGCGGCAAGTGCTACACCCCTTTCTACACCGAACTTTTTGGCTCTCGCTTGATAAAGTTTCATGTAAAATAAGTGTCTTCCTGGCACCGCTGTGGCCCGGGTGCATTTTTCCGTCTCCTATAGGGCTAGCGCAACCGAGTGCGCTAATCGTGTAGGATACGGAAGCGAGACCTGCATCTTCGTTCCCTAAGTGGTTAACGCACCGCATACAAATAAGCACTCGGCAATGAGCTTTCTAGGTGATCTTTCTTTGTATGTACATATAAAATAATAATAATAATAACCAAACAAACAGATTGACGTATGTCTTAAAGGCGCGAATCATTGTATGCACGTTATAGCGCGATAATACACTAGAGGCTAAATGTAGCAAAGTATTCCTCAAGGTTATGACGAATAGCTGTCATCTTGGTTATGCAGGTACACTGCATTGTGCCATACCAAACCAACCCAAACTTAACAACCCAACCCAACCGACCCCGCCCCATTGGGCCCCTCCCGCCCCATTGAGCAATAGAGGTATAATATATCTAAGGGCAGGCTGGATTGTGGCTGGATTGTGACAATTTGACTAAAATTTAATTTATTTATAAACATTACATTACATTACAGTAGTTACATTGGGAACAAAAAAACACAAATAAAGATAATTATCTTATAATCTTTACATTCAAGCTTTTAAAGTAAAAATCAGTTTAATGTTCAACAAAATTGTCCAGTAGATATAATTCATATTATGGGGAAAAGAGGATAAATGTACTAAAAATTTAAATACCTATACAAAATAGTGAAATATTTTCTTTATAAAAGTAATATTTTTATTTTTTTAGGTTTACCTATCACTAATAGTTATTTACTAAAGTATAGCTAGCTAATCAGTTTTTTAATTAATTTATCAAAAAAAACCTATATTATACAGAGAGTTTGAAATTAACAAACCATAAAAATTGGTAACATTAATTTTTTAAATTAAAAAAAATATCAATAAAAATGTTAGTTATCAATATCAATAAATTAAATTAATTTATTTAATTGCTGTCGAATTAAAATTTTATTTCGTTTATTTTCTATAAATTGGTACATAACATTTTTTAAATATTCTTTAAAAAATTTATAAATTGCTGGATCCGCGCTGGATTGATGTTGATCCAGCAAAAATCCAGCTGTATTGCAATCCCTAGTCCAAACGCTGCACCACTGATACTTTTTAAAAAAATTGTCAATAAATATTGTTAATAATATATTAAAGTTAAATTTATTTTTTGTGTTGCTGTTTAAAGCTAAACTGTTTGCCTGTTTGTTTTTATAGGCATTAACCATGAGCCTATATGCATTTAACGCTAACAATAATTTGTTGTTGGCCGCAAGAATTAAAAACGATAAAAGAAATTAGTTACTTATTACTCTCAGAAACAGTAAAAGATGGTGACTTATCTTAAATTAGTGAAACTTTAACTATAGGTACCTAGTAAAAAATAACTATTTAAAAGTGAAAACGACCATTTTATTAGTAAACAATGCTGATACTAATTCAAATAGTAGAATTTTGACCATTTAATTTTAAGAGAGTAGGTACATAACCATATTTGGTAAATTATAATTATATACAGTTAAAATAAACTTAAACCGCTTAATTAGGTATAGTTTAAGTTGACTTAAGAGTAAAAAAGTAGTTAAAAAAGGGTAAAACCAAACAAAAACTACCAAATATTAACTTCTTTTTAACCAAAAAGTACTTTAACCAAGTTAAATTTAACTGACATAATGTTAATTTTACCATAATTAAATTTTCCACTTATTACAAAATAACTTTAATATAACCAGTTGTGCTACTTGGGTAGTAGGTATCTTAAAAAATGTAAAACAGCGTTAATTCCCTGTAAACTATAGTTTCATGTAAGGTGTACTGCTGGTTAATTAAAATAAGTTTACTATTAAAATTTCATAAATACCTTAAAACATACAGCAAACTTTAGACTATCTAACTATCGAACACAGACTGCTATCAAATAGTAGTACTGAATCAGTACTACTGATTAATTTAATCTGAAATACATTTAGGTATGTACGTAGCATACAAACAGAAGCGAATTTGCGGCACGCTTTTAGCGCGGCCTTACACCGCATTATTACAAAGAAAGCCGCATTTTTATAAAGTAATAAAAACGGTAAAGAATATTCGGAACTCTATAGAACGGTATACCGTTCTCATAATAGTATAGTTCATTTGTTTTATTTTGGGGAAAAATAAAACATTTGGTAACAATTTTTATTTTTTTTTAAGTTGGTTGGGGACAATGCGCCTATTTCTTCGTGGCGCCTAAGGCAATCGCCTTGCCTGCCTAATGGTTAATATGGCCCTGAGGATACTTAGGATGCATTTTTGATATTATAATTTGTAAAATCAGGGGGTGAAACAGCAAGCGCCTCCTTAGCAATGTTGCTATATTTTCTTTTTGTTGCGTAAGTCATCTTTTTTAATAATTATTTTGACTTCTGACAACAATAAAAAGAATATTGACAACGGTAAAGATCTATTTCTAAGCTTTTAAGTATTTTTTGAGTTTTTTTTATCGGTATTTCATTCCCTTGAAGTTACAGTAAGTATAATATATTATTAAATAATTAATTTATATGTCATTTATTACGATTATTTTTTTTGCAAAAACCAATACTACTTAATAATATTGGGACATTTGTTTTAATAGCGACTATTGATCAGTTTTGAAGTAATTTCTAGCGTACTGATGTCCCTGGTGGAAGTTCAAAATCAAAATTTGAGATTTTTTTAATACATGTATGTTTTTTTTAGGGCCGTAACCGATGCAGGAGGGAATTTTATACCTTCTTTCCCTTCTGAGCCCATTCAAAATACAGATACACTTTTACTATTTAAAATAAATAAATATTTGCAATTATTTTATTTTATTTATCAAATTTAAATAAATGTTGTTTTCCTCCTCTGATTATTTCAAAATGATGATTATATATGGGGAATTTGGGCGTAGTGCTAGGGAGGCAGCACGAGTTTTTTCCAGCGCTTTCCCGATCGGATGGACTGTAAAGTTGTTCTGCGTTGTAACGAAATTGAAGGTGATCCTTAACGTATTAGAACAGCGGAAAATAAAGAAGCTATTTTCAACGCCTTTAATGCAAATAGCAGGAAGAGCATAGGGTTGCAACTTTTCATGAAAAGTTGAAATTTTTGATAAGTTGGGTTTTATTTTTCGGAAAAGTTCGGAAAAGTTGGAAAAGATGGAAAAGTTGAGTTTTTTGTAATGTAAACGTATAAAACATAAATAATGCTTGTCTATGTATTAAAATAATTTATTTCTTATGTATTTATACATACGAAACAAGTTGTCTTATAACAAAATAACAAAAAAAAATAACAAACAAAATAAAATGAACAACATAATCACAACAAAAATAAACTAGGTTTGAGTTAAAAAAATATCATATTATTTCATTTTTAAGTAAAAAAGAATCTTTACACACCATAAAAAAACACATACGAAATAAAAAATAATTACAAAAAAATATGAAGCAAAAATTATAAAATTTATTTTTGGGACATTCCACGTTACTCGGTAATTTTTGTCCCGCCCGTCACAATTAAAAATTGTGAGTAAAAACCACAAGTTATAAAATTAATATTTTATAATATTATTTTTATTGTGCTTATAACTTATTAAAACCATAATAAAACAATATTTTTAAATAAATTTTATAACGTGTAGTTTTTACTCACAATTTTTAAATGTGACGGGCGGGACAAAAATTCCCGAGTAACGTGGAATGACCCTTTTGTTAAAAATTATGGAAATTTACAAGTAAAAATTTAAAAAGAAAAAGAAAAGAAAACTTTCTTCTTTTCCACTTTTATATTTTCACTTGCAAATTTCCATAATTAAAAAAAAATAATATTTTTTTCATTATAATAAAACAATCTTTATATAATAGAAAATGCTGTTAGCAGACACCATTTTTGATAAAGTTTGACAGAATGTTATTCCAAAAAACAATGATTTAGCACGTTTTACTAAAAACACTTGAAATCTAGCGATTTATATCGAATTTTGACCAAATTATCTACCGAAAAAAATTTATGGTAGTGGAAACACTGGTTAGAAGTCAACTTTTCATAGGGGGTGCCAAACTTTTCCAACTTTTCGACCGAACTTTTCCTTGTTTGCAACACTAGAAGAGCATAATGGAAGTTGTACGCGAATTTCCAGTTCACAGTTCAGCGGGTTATGAAGGACCTTCATTTTAGTGAGTGCAGTACCTGCAGCCCAAAGATAATCCCGCTAGAGGATTTCTGTAGTAATTGCTAGACATTTTGGCTCTGGGGTACAGTAGTTGTTTAATTTTTACTTTAAAACAATGGGATCCTGAAGTATAACATTCCTTTTAGAAAGGTTAGTAAACACAGTCGGACAAAAGATTTAGACAACAATGTTCTATAGTCAGTTTAACATAGGCGAGAGCTCTCGGTATTGGCTGCCGCCTTTTTGCTCTCATATGATTACACTATTACCTAGACATTTTTTATTTTAAATTTGGCATCTCCATTGATACCAGCACGCCCCCTTTTTTGTGGCGCGAGTTCTTGGTCAGGGTGTATTATATTTTAAAAATACCATTTTATACAACTTATTCAAATAGGTATCTATTTTTTAATATTTTCTCACCTTATTCCAAATTTTCTTTAATAATTCCAAAATGCAATTTTTATTGGTAATGCTTTTAATGACTTTATCGCATTTTTTAAACAAATCGTTTTCGTCATTTTTTATGATTAAAGATCTTTTACCACAAACGTCCGTCTCAATTTCATAATTTGGCTTCCAGTTTAACAAAACGGTCTCCAAATAAAATTGAAAAGCCTTCTGGAGGTCTACTGAAGTATCCTAAAAAGTCATTATATTGTTTTTAATTTTATTATTAAATACTTCAAAGAAAGTATGTTGTTTCCAGAAAAGTATAACAAAAACTGTCATTACGTGTAGTCCGTCAATGCCTTTCTTATGCTCATATGTAAAGGAAAACCTATTTTCAGGACTTCTACTACACAGCAAAGTAAAGAAAAGAGCAGTAAGGACACTTAGGTAATCTAAAGCCGGTTTTCCACCAAACGGACAAAACAATAACAAAACACAAACTCGTGTCGAATAAAACAAAACTGCAACTTTTTGCAAACTTTTTGAAGACTGGCGTGTTTTGCGACAGTTTGAGTTTTGTTTTTCGAGTCCCGCTCGGAAGCGGTAACATCAAAAGATTTCGACGTGTTTTGAAACTCGAGTCTGTTTAGTGGAAACGGTCGTGTTGTGTTTTTTGTTTTCGACTTTTATTTTATTTTGTTAGTCTGGATACATATTTTTTTCCAAGTGTATAATAATATTCATATTATATTCCTCATAAGTCTATATAGAAATACTACAATGTAGTTTTTTAAAATTTTGTAACCTCATTTTTAGATTAGGTTTAACTGTCAGACGACAAAATGTCACCATTATTATTCGGCGGTCAATAATAATTTGACTTTTGAACTAGTACAATAATGTAGTGACTACTAGTTCAAAAGTCAAATTATTATTGACCGCCGAACAATAATGGTGACATTTTGTCGTCTGACAGTTAAACCTAACCTAAAAATGAGATTACAAAATTTCAAAAAAATATCGAAATTTAGAGCTTGAAAAAAAAAATAGTATATAAAACACAGCAGTATAAACCAGCCAAAACTAAGAATAAGAAAATCTTTTTCTCTAAACATGTTGGTTGATACTGAAAAAGTGTGTTCTGACATAATCACGACAACTAGTGGAAAAGGACCGAAAACAAAAACAAAACTCGGACAAAACTTAGTTTGCTTGATGGAAACAAGAGTTTCGGGTTTGTTTCAGTTTTGTTTTTGATTTGAAAGTTTTTAAAAACACAAACAAAACCCAAACTCAACTGTCCGTTTGGTGGAAAACCGGCTTAAGAGGCCGTACTCTCGGATGATCTCGGATCGTTTGGGATCAGTCAAGGAAGATTCATTTGGCGACACGTTTCATTCATTAATAAACATACCTTGCAATATTCCTCAATAGCATTTTCATTAACGCAATTTTTTTCTAAAAGAGTCTTTAAAAGTTTTTCAGGGTCCATTTTAAGGAAACAATCGTAGGATATGGGACAATTTTGTAATTTATTCCACCATTTCACACTAACAACAGCAGCTTTAAAAATGTCTGTGGATAATAATATTCCGCGAGATTTAAAATATCTTATGATTACTTCCGAAATGTCCCTTAATTTTCTTGGGTGACGTTTGTACATCCTAAAAAAAATAAAAAGAATCTTAGTACTGTGCTCCACATATTTGAGGTTATCTATTTAAACACCAATTTCGTCTTATTTTCTGAAAAGTCACAATCATTTAAAAAAGCAGATTTTTTATTTTTTTTTTTCGGTTTGAAAAAAAGTTTAAAAAATTCTAGGAAACGTTTTTAGTTTAGTATAAAATAAAAATGCCATCCAAATCAAAATGGTCAAAAGTGGTCGATTTGGGTTGAAATGCTCCACATTGTATTATTTCAGAAAATAGACGAACAAATAATCAAGATTTTTCTATTCGGAATTGTGGATTAAGAATTAAGAGTGGGTTGAAATAACGTACTTGGCGTATTTTTCGATGCTAACGATGGACTCATTTTTGTCCATCTCCCCCAAAATATCGTACAACAATGCACAATCAATATTATGGGCCGACATGACGGCTTGCAATAACAGAGGTAAACATTGAGTTCTTAAAACGGACTTGATTACTTTGTTCACGTCCCCATGTTGCGCGCTGTTTCCGTAGATAATGGCGTTTTGTAGTGTTGCCAATAGTTGTCTTGCTGTAAGATAATGCCCCTCTCTACAGAGGTATTGTATAGTTCCAGAAAACTTGTTTATTTCCACTATAAAAGAATCTTTGGTGGTGGGAATATCTTGGTTAAAATTGGTTAGGTATTTGAGTATGGGGTTTTTGAATGTACCAATATACCTAATGTAACTCTCGAATATATTTCTAATGGACGTAAATGCGGCATAACCCGGTATTGCATGTTTTTCCACATAGGAATCGCTAAATATAGCATGGTGTAAATCAGTACTGGGTTGTAAAGTTAAATAAAAACAGCTATTAACCCAGTTAACAACAGCCATCACTTCTTCCCTATCAGCTTGCATTAGAGCTTTAAGAGACATTTTCTTCGCTAATTTTAAAGCTTCCATAAAAACGTTGGTATCAGTGTTTATAAGATTATCCGCTAGGGTTTCATTGAACGATTCGGCAAGTTGAACCTAAAAAATAATTTACCATACCATACCATATCTATTTCTCTTTCATTGCGTTCACATTAACAGGAAATACAAAATAAAAATACACGTGTTTTGCTTAAATTTTAAAATTAAAATACTCAGTGGCATATTAATCCCAGCAGACAAAAATTGTGCTAGAATTGGGTAGAGCAAACATATTGTTTGGCACGCGAGACAAGACGTATCAAAAGAATGCGTTACGCCCATTACAGAGATAGACAATGATTTTGTTTGACTGAGACAGACAAGGACAGCGATTCAAATGTCCCATTTTATCCCACGTCAAGTCACTTTGCCAGACTATATAATTGTGCAAACGTTGGCTCATGGTGGGCAATTTGATTGAATGTCAATATTCTTATAACCAAATTATGTACTTTGGCAAATTAGAACAGTAAAACTCATGATTTACTGAAAAAAAGATGAGAGTGGAGAAAGTTAGAACAAAATAGCTATTTGTGTAATAAGAGCGCAAATTGATACATTGCCGCTCTGAGCGAGAAGTTTGACGCGCGACGCGTAGCGGAGCGCGGCTATCTCGCGAGAGCGGCAATGTCACTTTGCACTCGAATTAAACACAGGATTTTTTCTACAACCGGTGTTTCTATAACAATGTTTGGTAAAAATTAATAATTATTTATGACCTCAAATTTGACGTTTGAGTCAAAAGTCGCAAATACACTAAACGGTTCTTTCCATGGTAACTAAGCGAGCGACAAAGTAAAAAAACGTGCAAAATTTTGATTTACATTAATAATGTCTCGGAATGTTTTCAAAACTGTCGGTACTTTTTATATACTGATGATTTAAAGATATTTGCTCAAATACATTTCCTGGAGGACTCTAAAAAGAGGTGTTTCTATAACAATGTTTGGTAAAAATTAATAATTATTTATGACCTCAAATTTGACGTTTGAGTCAAAAGTCGCAAATACACTAAACGTTTCTTTCCATGGTAACTAAGCGAGCGACAAAGTAAAAAAACGTGCAAAATTTTGATTTACATTAATAATGTCTCGGAATGTTTTCAAAACTGTCAGTACTTTTTATATACTGATGATTTAAAGATATTTGGTCAAATACATTTCCTGGAGGACTCTAAAAAGTGGCTGGAGGATCTGGTTAGATTTTCCTATTTTTGTGAGAACAGTAAACTCTTTTTAAACCCTGACAAATGTTCTTTTATTATATTCACAAAAAATATCAAGGTCATAGAATTCACTTGTAAAATAAAGATTTAGGCGTATTACTGGACTATAAGCTTTCATTAAAAATAAACAAATGTAATAAGTTATAACATACGTTGTTATAGGTTGTCATCTCTAATTTTTGAAAACCAGGATTTAAAAGTAGACATTTTGGACAATTTGGTTTAAAAACAGGACACAGTATAAGAGTAGTGGTAGTAGTAATAAGCAATGAAAACAGGTTCAATGAAATTCAGAGCTTCAGTACTGGGAAACAAATTTTAAGGTAGAAAAATCGAATTAACCCCTAGATATAAAAAAAACAAAAAAATAGATAGATGCGACCCTGATGAAACTCAACTAATAGCAATAACAATTTTTTATGAAATCTTCAATTAAATTATATAAGAAATTAAATGAAAGAATGAATTTTTTAATTATAAAATAAACAAAACCTGGATAATAAATTTAAAAAACCCACGACGCTATTTAAAAACTATCCCGGACTGGGAAAACAGGACAGTTGGTAATCCTACCATAGGTAATAAATTTTTATGATTACACTGGTCAACAGTCATTTTGCAGCAGGGATATCATACTTGGTGTTAAAATAAAACTTAATGTTATTGTTATTAAGCATTTAAACTTGTTAAAGCTTTGTATTTTCTAAGCCAATTTATGAAACATCTAAAAACGGTTGTTATGGAAACAAAATTTATAACGCATCTACAGCGACTTAAGACAGATGTATTTTCTAACAGTTCTTGCCAGAAAACTCAAACTTGAAATCATCATAACCATGTTTTTAATATTATTAACAAATTTTAACTTTTTATTTTTGAAAGATCATTAGAAATATATATATATATATATATATATATATATATATATTAGGGTGTCCCAAAAAAAAGAATATTTTTTTTTTCTCGTCTCTTGTGAAAATATGTTGGTTTGTCATGTTTTAAGAGCCCTGTCAAAAGATCAGCACCAATAAAAAAATTTTAGGGGTCGCTCAAGATTTTTAAAAATTACCAAAATCGTCAAATATTGGATTTTTTTTTAATTTTAATTTTTTTTCTCGTTCCGATATTATTTTTTAATTTAAAAATAATAATGATTCTGAAAATTTCAAATCGATATTTTAATTTCTAAAGGTCGCTCAAGATTTTTTTAACTTTCAAAGTAGAGTATTTTGAATGTTTTCGAGCGACCTCTGAATATAAATATCAACGAACTTTTAGCGACCTTTAGAAATCAAAATATTGATTTGAAATTTACAGAATTTTTATTATTTTCAACCTAAAAAATAATATCGAGACGAGAATAAGAATTAAAATAAAACAAAAATTCAATTTTTGACGATTTTGAAATTTTTTAAAAATCTTGAGCGACCCCTACAAAATTTTTAATCGAGCTGATATTCTGAAAGGGCTCTTACAGCATGATAAACTATGGCACGCCGTTTTAGCATTTATTAGATAAAATATTTAAGATTAAAGTTTAGCACTTAAATTATGTTTTAACAGAAATTTATAAAGTTAAATTTTTTTAAACTCAAAACAATTGATAGTCAAAAAATATTTTAAATATAAAATGCAACAGTAAAAATTTATGTTTAAAAATATTGATTTTTAAAAGTTTTGGTTGTAATATTTTATTCTACAAAATTATTGGTTTAAATTTTTAAAGAGTCATTTAAATGATAGTTGATAAATTTTTAATACAAAAATTCTCACATTACATTAAATGTAAGTTTTAAATCTTAAAGTAGTAATTTTTGGATTAAAAATTTATCGACTATCATTTAAATGACTCTTTACAAATTTAAACCAAAATTTTTTATTTTTAACAATTTTAAAGTAATATATTTTTAAGACAAAATTTATAACTTTACATTTAAATGTAAGTCGATAATTTTTAAATTACAAAGTGTAAACGTAGCTTTAGTAGAAGGCACAAGAGTCTGGGATCGGAGCCACGATGCAGCCAGTTTGATCCGTTGATGTTTTTAATTGTCGAATTAACTTACAATATGCACTAAAAATGTTGTTGTTCTATATTAAATTAATGTAATAATTTATCGACTATCATTTAAATGACTCTTTACAAATTCAAACAAATAATTTTGAAGAATAAAATATTAAATTTCCATTTTTTTAAATTAATATTTTTAAACTTAAACTTTTAAGGTTGCATTTTATATTTAAAATATTTTTTGATTATCAATGGTTTTGAGTTTACAAAAATTTAACTTTTTAAAATATTTTGGTAGAAAATGTTTTATGTGTTTTTATTTTAAATGGCTTGATACTATTTTTTAATACTAAAAAATTTAACTTTACCAAATTAATCTCAATAATTTTATAAAATATTAATTTAAGTTAACAAAATGCCACCCAAATAAATTATACTTGAGAAGTTATTTTTATTAAAAAATGATAGTTAGAAATTTTTGCAAAAATTGATAGAAAATAATATTGTTTAATACAGAAGTGAACTGTTGCTTAGTAAATTTTGTCTTTCAATACATGATAGTTGAAAACATTATAAATTTATAAATGTAAACCTAAAATTTTTAGTTAGGAAAATTTTAAAACAATAAACTTTTAAATTAAAAAATTATTTAATAAATGTTAAAACGGCGTGCCATAATAAACTAACATATTTTTACAAGAAACAAGAAAAAAAAATATTCTTTTTTTTTGGGACACCCTAATATATATATATATATATATATATATATATACCGTACCTTCATTTGCAAGCTAACCATAGGGAAAATACATTGTAACTGGACCAGATAAGTCGCAGTCAACACAAAGCGAGAACCTTTTCAGAAATGATTTGGATGCGTCGTCGAGACATGCGTACTAAAACAAATTTTACCAGATTTACACCGCACAAAATAAAAAACAATAATAAAGCATCGATGTATGAAGCAAGGTCAACTGTTACGGCGCATGCTGGCGTACTCGTCCACGCGTCCTAATCATTTCTACAACGTTTTTCGCTTCGTGCTGACTAAGACTTATCTGGTCCAGTTACAATGTATTTTCCCTATGGTTAGCTTGCAAATGAAGGTACGGTATATATATATATATATATATATATATATATATAGTAACAGATTTATAAAAACTTACAAAAAAGATTGCTGATTAGTTTTAATATTGTAAATAGTATTGGTTCAAATTATTTTTATTTATGGTGCACAAAATCGTTGTCCTCTACGAACAGCAGACAACGGGATCTGTTTGCAATCGAAAAAGAAACCATCCTAGGATATTCAATGAAGCCACCCATATTGAGGTTCTTGGTCAGTTTGGTGTAGATCCCACAATATCACTCTGGTCGGCATCTATATTAACAGGGGTTTGCCCCGACTCTGTTGGGAAGGTGTTGAAACATCTCAAATCCCACCCATTCAAGATGCATATTACATAAGAACTTGGCGATGATGTTGCAGATAGGCATTTAAAATTTTGAAAAATCATGACCAATAAAATAACAAATCAGATCCAAGTACTAAACACATTTGCTTCAGTGATGTACTTGTACTTTAAATGAAATTGTTAACAAACAAAATTGTCGTTATTGGAGCAATATGAAAATCCTCACCTCATTAGAGAAAATCATACCCAGTGGGTATTACCCAGTATCCTGAAAAAGAAATTCTTATTCTTATTTATTTTAAAATGTTGATGTTGATAAAACAATACAGCCACTAAAATGAACTAGAAAATCAAAGAGAAGATAATAAACTAGCTTTGGATGACAATTTATTATATTTTCAACAATATTGGGCACCACCTCATTAAGTAGTAGCTGTTAGGTCTTGGCTGGATCAGAATTATCAAGAACAGTGGATGGTAGAAGAGAACCAATAGAATGGTCTACCAGATCTCCAGATCTGATACCATTAGACTTTTTCTTATGCATAACCCCATGTGATAACTTAAAATCTGTGGTCTATTAAAAATCTGCGATATCAAATAACAATATTGTGGCGGGGTTTATATAAGTCGTCCTTGTCTTCAGCCGTACTCACATGAGTGTTTATTATAATATTATATATGAATATTTATAAAATTATATGCTTTAACATTGCATTTTTGTTAATTTTTAGCATAATTAATCAGCAAAAAGTTTGGTTGTTTACCCGATAAACATTTAACCATCATTAGAGCATTTAATATGTGGAAAACTGCACATATCCCAAGCAGCAATTTACGCTTGAACTTGGGCACGACACTTTCCAAATTGGTTCGACACAAATCGTAAAATATATAAATAAAAGATAAAAATATAAAAAAAAATATTTTTTAATTAAATAAATTATAAATATGAAAAATTACTTATTATTTTTGAGAACCGTTTATTTTTTAAAAGAGTTTTGCTTATAACCATCAAAGAGATTTTATTCGCAGTAAAAATTAAGGCAACATGTACCCAAAATGTTAGATTTAAGTTAAAATAGTATATTATGTATCAAGTTTGATAAACGCCATTTTTTACACGAATTTAATTTAGGCACGAGCGAGCTTGCAAGCGAGTGCTTAACTTAATGAGTGTATAGAAAAGTTTATAAACGAGGTGCATACTATACTTTTTCTACGACAAATACTTATTATTACCTTAAAATGATTTAAATCAAAAATTTGTATAGAGCGCCATCTATGAAACAACAGGGGAAACTGTCAAATGTCACATTTTTACATTTTAAAAACACAATTATAAAGGTTATAAATCGAAATGTATTTTGAAAATTAACAGTTTTTCACAGTGAAAATAAAGGAAATGTTTTATGAGGACTTTACAGTAGAGTCCGTGCCCGAATTTAAGTTATAGTTTACTGCCGGCGAAATTAAAAGGTCAGTACAATGTTCATATAAACTTTTCAAATATTGGCGTTGAGAAACTATTTAATATTTTTGTATTTTTGTATTGAGATAATAAAATAATTTTCACATTTAGTATTATTTTACAAGAAAGGCACTTTATTTTAACGATTGTATGACATTTGACAACTGTCAACTAACTTAAAACTAACTTCAGCCCGTGAATAAAAACCTGTTGCTAACTTCAGCCCGTGACTAAACGCCGTAAAGCCACAACTTGTCAATGTGTATTTAAAAGGTCACTTAGTGTCATGGAAACATGTACGATAAAACGCGTTTTAAAGGTGGGAGTAGAAAAAGTATTTTATATTATTATATACATAATTATTAATAAGACATTATGCGCTTTGTTGCAAGTATCTTATTTGTATCTAATTTAAAATAGTTTGGGCCCATTTGGGTTTATTTTGTGAAACAAAACTGTACTTTGGCAACAATTTGGAACAAATGGTGACCCTTTGGTAACCATAAAAACACTTTGGGCATAAATCAGTCACACGATGGGCAAATTAAAGCAAACATTCGGACCGCGTGCAAACTGTGGACACTTTTTAGTTCAACTTCAGTCACCAGTTTGGTCTCATTTTCTAGCTTAGTGGTCTTAAAATTGTCTTTAAAACGTGTCGTTTTTAAAATCATATTTGACGCTGTGTCCACACATTGTCCAAATTGTGTCATTCTATTCTGTACTGTTTTTGTTCGGTCTAAGTGAGGAATCGATTTTTGAACACTTTGAACCGCGTCATGAATGGTGTTTAAAACTAACATTAATTAGCGTAAAAATCCTGTTTATAATTAAATAATTAATAAAATATTTTATTAATTCATTTTATTACGCATTTCCTGTGAATTTTGAACAAAAATGTATTTAAAGAGTGGGTAGATGGGGCTTACCTGAAAAGTTCCCATATACTTAAAAATCAAAACAGTTGCAAGACAAAGATCCTTGGGACTGGCATCATTTTCGTACAAATATTTCGCGCTTTGGTAAATGACATCGAAATTTTGCAACTTTCGGCAAACATCAAGAATAACACTCTCCTTATTCAAACTCAGATAACTCGCCAACTTAACGCAGTCGTTATTTAATTTAATAATATCCGCGGTTTTGTTGGAAAAGTTAAAAATTAATTCTTCAATAATTTCATCTCGAATTTTGTACCTGTTTCGAAGGGAAGCCATTTGTTCTGTTTTGTATTTGCAATCAAATGTTTTGTTGAGTTGGTAACAATTTCGAATTAATTTTAATTCTTCTTGGTACCAAAATTTGCGGTCTTCTGAACATAATTCAATAATTTTTGCGTAAAGAGAACCGGCTATTTCGTAAAAGTTGTCCATAAATTTGGCCTAAAAAAGAATTACAAAAATAAAAATCATAATTTTTGTCACAAACACTAAAATACATACTTGCTCTGTACAAGCGATAATTTCCTCAGTAGTGCAATCTTTAAGTAGAGATAGAGCCTCTAAATATTTTCCATGCCTAATAAAATGCATAACCAAAATTTTATTTGCCTCCTGCTTCTCTTCAGGTGTAGTTATGACTTTGTTTATATCATCCAGCATAGATGGCAATCCAACATAAATAATCCTTTTTATTACCATGGCAAAATGTAGATTGTCAAATTTGACCTGAAATGCACATTTTAAATGAATCAGGATTATGTTTTAAGACAGCCTGTCTTTTTACCTGTGTTTCTTTAAATTTATATGCTGGAATACCAAATATAACTTTTCTTGGCTCGTTTTTAATGCATTTTTCAATGTCAGGTGAATATTCAACAGCTTTTTGAGCAATTTTACGTATAGAGTCTGTCCAAGGTACATTGGCAGCATTTAATATAATTTTAACTGCTTGCACTTTTAAATCTTTAGAGGATATGTATTTTAAAATTGTCTCAACTGATTTTGTCCAGTATTCTTCTCTATAACGTATTAAATTCTAAAAAAGAAATATTGAGAAAAAATAATTAAACTTTTTATTTTTTTATACTGATATTTCCTGTAAAAATACTTCGTCAGGGTTTAAATTATTTTGGACTATAAACTTGTAGACAAAATCTTTGATAAAGGTTTCATAGTTTTCCTTTGACATATTAAGGCTTAATAGTTGTCTTATTGTGGATTTGGGACCCTAAAAATACAAACTTTTACCAATACTAATACCATTACTAATGCTTCATGACAAAAAAGTAAGAATGAATAGCTAGCTATCTAGCATATCTTGCACTAGTGCAATGGTTACATTTTCTTACATCTAAGGTTCTTACCAGCACATAATCGGACAGCGGAATTTTGATAGAGTATTCATCTTTGAGAGTTCTTAAGCCATACAAAGCTTTCATGATATACTTAAAATCAGCCAGACTGTCCATATTTAGAGAGTTTTGTTTGTCAACATTAAGCATGTCTATGAATTTTTCCGCAAAATCTATCGCAGGTGTGGGAAAATCGTTATTTTTTCTTCGTTCCATATACATAATTTTGTTTTGCAGCCATTTAACGAAAACGTCCAGGCATTCAGGTCTATGTGTCAAAGTGACAGGTGCAAAAGTGGAGAGGAAGGACAGTTGACAGTTTATTACCAACTAAAAAAATATTGGAATTGAAAACAATTTTTTTTCAACTAAAGCAGAAAGCAAATAATAGTGTTTTTACTTACATTATTTATACTTGACAAAACTTCCTCAACAAATTCTATGGTTATTAATGACCAAGAATCTTCATCCAATCTGCTGTAAATGATAATGGCTTCCTCAATCATGCACTACAAAAAAGTGATGATTTTTAGCAAAACAATTAATACATTCCTTACGTTTTTAACATAACCTTTAAACAAAGTTATTAGATTGGAATCTTGGAATGTTTGCCAGTCGTCAACATCATTTTCTTCTATAAATATTAACCGGAATGTGTCAAATTTAAATAACATATCCGCTAAACTTTGTTGGATTTCCAGAATTTCTTTTAATTTCTCCTGAAAAAACAGTAGACTCAAAATTTCATTTATTTTTTTTATATTAAATAGTAAATGTATTATCAGGTTTGTTCCCACAGAGCATTTTGACTTTCAGTGCCATGCGCAATAGTCGACCATTTTTTATTATTGCGCACGTCTATGCTTGTAGCAACGGTACAATTTTTTATATTTAAAGTTTGTATTAATTTTGTAACTTTAAAGCAGTAAGCTGATGCTGTTATGGGGAAAGCAGATATCTTCTTCTTCAACGGAAAAGCCTTTTGTCCTCAGGGTGTTGGTTACTGGATTTTATCCAGTTTTTCCATGTAGGTTAGGTGTATTCCGTGGAAGCGGATATATTTTTTTAATTTATATTTACACTCTTTTATAAATAGAATTTAATTAAATTTAAAATTATTTTTTAATTTTTTTTGCAGACAAGCATTAAACCAAATTATTGTCCCATCAATATTATAGAAACAAATCCTTACATTATTTTTTGGAACCAGAGCACACCCATACTTCAAAATCTTCCCAATATCCATCTTATCTGGGCACACAGAGTTCCAAGCCATGGAATTACAAATCTTCAACTTAAACAAGTCGTCGTTTATCGTATCCAACATTTCGATCAAGTTGGCCATGTCCTCGGTTTCGCACACGTTTTTGTCGACAATTAGCTGCGCCTTGGCTTTGGCGATCAAGTGCCGATCCAAGCCAAACAAGGTTACGAACTGTTCGGCTTCTTCAAATTTGTGCTTGCGGATCAGCCGTTCGAGGCGTTTTTCCGGTTCCGTTTCCGTGATCTGGCATATGCGTAGTTCATTTATTTTGTCGTCCGAACGCAGTTTGCTTACGTAGAGCACTTCGTCTAATAGAGTTTCCGGGATGATGAGGTTGATTTCGGTTGTGAGTTTTATTGAAAATACTTCGCTCATGTCTGAAATTTTGTATTGTTTTATTAGGTTATATATATATAGGTTTTACTAAAAAAATATATTAAAAAGTGGCGTTTAAAAAAGTAGGCACAAACAATAATATTTCAGAAACTACTACAACCGTGTTGAAGCGCTTTGGCAAACTTGTTTAGAAAACTTTAGGCTACAAAATATCCAAAGGAGAATATTATGGAACAGCGAATTTAAATCTTATAAAAATTTAAAAAGTGGTACTTTAAAGCAGGGTCTACAATTGTCGCAAATCGCAGAATATAAGCTTGCGCAAAGCACCCAGCTGACAAAAGAACTTTGCTCCATCGCCACGTCGCGGGGTGCTTTGCGCAAGCTTATGTTCTGCGATCGGACCCCTGCGACAATTGTAGACCCGGCTTAATGTTGTCCCGTTTATTTAAGTATCAATCATCTCGTATGGCAAGCCGTTTTAACATTTATTAAATAATTTTTTAATTTAAAATTTTATTGGTTTAAAATTTTCCTAACTAAAAATTTTAGGTTTACATTTATAAATTTAAACTATTTTCAACTATCATTTATTGAAAGACAAAATTTACTAAATAACAGTTAATTTTCTATCAATTTTTGCAAACATTTCTAACTATCATTTTTTAATAAAAATAATTTCCCAAGTATAATTTATTTGGGTGGCTTTTGTAAACTTAAATAAATATTTTATAAAATTATTGAGATTAATTTGGTAAAGTTAAATTTTTTAGTATTTAAAAATAGTATAAAGCCATTTAAAATAAAAACACATATAAAACATTTTCTACCAAAATAGTTTAAAAAGTTAAATTTTTACTCAAAACTATTGATAATCAAAAAATATTTTAAATAATAAATGCAACTGTAAAAGTTTAAATTTATTGATTTTTAAAAAATGGAATATTTTATTCTTAAAAGTTATTGGTTTAAATTTGTAAAAAGTCATTTAAATGAATTTTCAATACAAAAATTTGAGCATTACATTTAAATGTTAGTTTTAAATTGTGGTAATTTTTGCATTAAAAATTAATCGCCTATCATTTAAATGACTATTTACAAATTTAAACCAATAACTTTTATTTTTAACAATTTTAAATTGATACATTTTTAAGACAAAATTTATAACTTTACATTTAAATGTAAGTCGATAATTTTTAAATTACAAAGTGTAAACGTAGCTTTAGTAGGAGTCTGGGATCGGAGCCACGATGCAGCCAGTGTTGCCAAATCGTGCTTGCTCCATAAATATTTGACGGGTTTTACAAATTATCGTAATGAAATATTTCTTTATTACATAAATTTAATAATATAACATCATTTTAAGTGCCTATTGCACTAAGTTAATTTTACAATTAAAATTTTTTTTTTCTAATTTTAGTAAGTAAGTAATTTAAATTTGGTTTTAGTAAAAACAATTTAAATAACACAGCTGAGGTTGACATGGTTGTGTTTTATGACTTATTATTAAAATAAACTATTTATTTTTAAAATTTTAAAGCATTAAAATAAAGAAAATTATAAATTAAACATAAAACCCCTTAACACTTAAAAACTACTAAACAACCTAATTTGTATTTATTTATACTGCAAATAACCTTTTCTCACACTTTATTTGATTAGTGTGCCATTTTCAAATCACTCTGTATTAAAAATGTATTATGATAAATCATGTGAAATATTATTTAAAAAAATGGTAACTTACCTGGATAAACTAATGATTTAACATAAGTGTGGCCCTCATCATTTGGAAAAGTTACTCCAATAATATTAAAATTATCCTTATCATCCAAAGCCACAGTCATATGCTTTAATTTTACATCCAAAGTCACAGGAAATTGAGTAAAAGTATTGGGACAAATTTCTGACAAATCACCATTGCTGTCCAAAACTAAGAAAAAGCTAAAACAAACAATTTTTAAAATTATTGCCTAAATTAAATGTAAATAAAAATAGACTTACTGTCTGAAAGGATATATAGACACAATATCCAATCCTTTAGCTTCAATAGCATGTTTTTCAACTGTATTTAAAACAATCATATGAGAAGAACATACTAACAAATCAGGGTAAGAATAGGACGCCAATTTAATAGTCATTCGAAAATCGTAAATTTCTTTATACTCCACTGGAACATTATCATCTGGCCTCAGAAACAATTTAAAAACCTTTCCAGATTTTGTAACAATCACAAAATCATAATTTTTACTTATACTATCTTTATAAGAACCATTTATTAGAGTTTCATTCGTCCAGCCATTGGACTCAATTATGTTACTAAAATTTTTTAAAAATATAGTGTATTTTGGAATATTTATATAGTGTCGGAAATTGTACGCCGCTGCAGCGCGCTGGCCAAATATTTTTTTATTTATTTTCTTTTATTTTTCAGTAAATTTAACTTAAAAAAATACTCTTAATACTAAATCTAATCTTATCTAAGGTGCCTATTTCTCGAGATGATTAAATTCCAAAAATCTTTAAAAATGAAAACAATTCGGAAGTATTGTTTTATTTTTAAAGTTTTAGAGCAATGTATTAAAAGTACTTTTTTGTGTAAAAATTAATTAATATTTAACTTCAACACCCGTACCTCGCTTAACTAGCATTTTTGGACATACGTTGATTAGAATTTGTTGCCTTATTTTTACGTATTCTATCTACTCGAAGTTTGTTACACTAGTTATAGATCACCCTATATAGGAAATTAAGGAATTTACGATACATTATTAAAGTGCTCCATTTAAAACGAACATGTTTTTTTAATTCCTCATGTTAAAATAAAAAATGCATTTTTAGACCTTCCTGTTAATTTTAAGAACTGGAGCAGCGTCGTTTAAGTTTTTTCGTGCTAAAAGGATCATACACATTATGCATTACATAATGTAAATCTTGCTTTTTTCTTTTGTTTAAATAAAACTAAACCCCATATTAATGTTTCTTATTAAAACATAAAATTACCATGTATAAATATAGTATTATAGTATAGTATTTATTACCCTTAATAATTTATTTTCAAAAAAAATTTACAAATTAAATTTTTAAATAAATAAAATAAATAAATTTGAATAAATAAGTATTTTATACTTATATACTGTTATATTAGGGTTGGTGGTGGTACTTGACTGATTTTTGTAAAATAATAAACGTGGGCGGTAAGAATACTAAAAAGTAAAGTCCTACCTTGTTTTTGGTGCTAATGGTTCCTTGCAGTTAGGCTTTTAGCGTTGGTTTCAAGCGGGATAAAACGGGTACAATGTCGCGACTTTTGTTTGCGGTTCCAAGAATAGGGTTTTAAAAACAAATATTTTCTACACAGGGACTTTATTGTTCAAGTGTGAATTACATAAAGACAATCTTATTATGTTTTACATTTGTTTTATTATCTTTAATGCTTAGCCTGCATATTCTCAGGTTACACCGAGATGGGACGTTCATAACTCCTTCGGCCTCACTTGAGAACTATGGGGTTGATACCAGAGTTCGATAATTCTACATCTGTGGTTGGTCGACTTCCTTGGATTGTTGACGATGATCCTCTGAGTAGAATACCCTTTTTTTTAATATAAATATAAGCAAAAATGCAAAAAATAGCGATTAGGACATATAATAAAACCGTATATGCACTAACTCTATGGAAATGAATTGGAGCGTTATCTAAATCACTAATTTGAAGTCTTTGTTTATTTAATGCACTATGAATAGTTTTTATATCATCTAAATCTAAATTTTCAAGTTGAATTTTATTTTCTTTAATGTCTTTTTCTTTATAAGTCTTTGTAAACTGTAGATGGGGCAGATCAATATTTTTTAAAATTACATTGGAATCGGAGTAACCTTTTAAAACAACATCGTTTATTTGCACTTCACATTTGTCTTTAAGTTCTAACACGTAACTCCCGATTATTGGAAATAAGTCCTTATTATCCGCACAATTAATTCTAGCTACTAAAGATGTGGGGCTAATGATGATCCATTGGTTGTTTCCTAGATTTTGAACCATAAGAGAGGATACAGCTACTGGAACTTGTTGGCAATTGCTGGTATTACTTAAATATTGTAATAGTTGAACTTCACATGGAGACTTATCGGAAATGTTTAGAACATCAGTATTTCGGCATAGGTATTCTTCTGATTTTACAATATCGCAGTTTGTGTTCAGTAATGCAAAGTTGTGCTCATTTAAAATAAGGTATTTGGATTTAGGAATTATGATTTTATAGGTATCATTTGTAAATACAGGAAATGGGTATAGGTGAAATATATTAAAATTTTGTTGTTCAACTAAAGGCACTTGCAAAATAAAAATGATCTTACTTTTTTTTACATAGCTTTTGATTTTTATAATTTTTTCGAAAAGAAGAATATTTTCTAATTCAGGTTTAAATGGAAGTTTTTGATTATAAAGATGTTGATTTATATTTAAAATTTCACTAATTAAGTCCTTTGGATCTATAATTGAGTTGTGTAATGTATTTAATTTTGAAAATGTAATTGCAATTTGTATTTTTTCTAATATGTCATAAATTAATTGAAACATAATAGACAATTGCGAAAATATTATTTGCAAATGAAAGTGAAAGATTTCAGCAGTCGTTAAACGGTTTTCGTTGAAAAGCGTTTCGAGCTGTTCTATTTTGTTTTTTAATATATTTTGATTATTTGATAATATTTGAAAGTTGTTTTTAAATTTATTGATTGATATCTGTAGTAAGCTAATTTGATCGTTGATTAAGGATTTAAAATGATGTTGGTTATTAAGAAGTGTTTCTATTGATTCATCATATTTTTCTGCATCTTTTTGATCAAGGTTCCCGGTAATTGCTTTAATGATTGAACCTAGACCATCTATAAGCCCTCTCCTATTTCTGGGATTTATTGAAGGATTAATTTGAATAAACTGATTTTTAATTTTTGTTTCAATTGAATCTAAAATGCGATATGAATTAAAATAGTCTTGATGAAAACTAGAATTTTGAGTGGAATTATTAAAAATATTTTTTATTGACAAATAGTGGTTGCAAAGGAAGTTGAATTCGTCAGTTATATTTGTAATATCATATATCTGAATAAAAGACCAAGAGTTGGTTTGTAATTGTGCCTTGCCTAATTTTATGGGTAAGAGCCCTGGGTTTGAAGTTAATTTATGAAATTTGATTGGTTCTACATCTGCCTTTACGTGGGAGAGGAATCTGCAACAACAGAAGGTATTTTTAATTCCTTAATATGTACAGTTTCCACTTTTTTTGTCTTACAGTTTTCTATTTTTACTTTATTATTCTCTAAAAACCTAATTAATTTATAAGGACCTTTGTGTTTATTTTCCTTTTTACTACGCCTATCTACTTTTTTATAAACTATATCATTTTCTTTAAAATGAATTTGTTCAGGTCCTTGAATATTTAATTTATCGATTATTTGTTTTTTATATTTTTCATTTTTTTGGGAAATTTTTTCATATAAATTTCTGAGTTTATCATGATGTGAGGATATGTAGTCCGAATAAAACGCCTTTGTTATTAATTCAGATGGATCACGCAAGGTGGTATGGCCAAAAACCAGTTCGTGGGGGGTGAAATTTGTTACTGAGTGAATTGAACTGTTGTAAGCAATAATTGCATACTTCATCAAATTTATGTCGTCTTTATGTGTATTTCTTAAAAGTCTAAGGTGTTCAATAAGAGTTGAGTGAAATCGTTCTACTGGTGAATTTGATTCATGATGAAAAGGTGTTGTAAAATGAATAGTAATTTTGTGTAACTCAAGCATTTCCTTAAGAGTCCCGTTATTAAACTCACTACCATTATCCATAATAATTTTTAATGGTAATCCGTAGTACGAGAAGAAATCAAGAAGTGCGTTGCAACTCTCGATGGCAGTTGTGCCCCTTATTTCTATTGCTTGACCGAATTTTGAAAATTTATCAAGAATTGTTAGGTATATTTTATTATCAAACTTAAACGTATCTATGTGGACTATTTCGAATGGTTTGGATGGGGTTTCAGTGAGAACAAGTGGAACATAGGGTGGTTTTCGGTTATATTTAGCGAGTTGACATACCTCGCAATTATTTATAAAAGTTGTTATATCGGATTTCATACTTGGCCAATAATAATTTCTTTTGAGGTGTTCGGTTGTTTCGAGTATTCCTCGATGATTACATTTACCTTCGTGTTGAAATCTTATCATCATAATTTGTTCATGTTTTTCAATTACCGAATTTACTAATTTTGTACATTTAATAAGTTTTAATATATTAGTTGGAAATTCTTGAATATAAACTTTATTAAATGTTTCATAAAGTGTGTTATCAAAAAAGTATAAATAAAATGTAAGGCCGGAGGATGTAAATTCTTTAAGAAATTTAAGAACGAGATCTTCATTATATTTAGGAATTTTTACATTTAAAATTTTAAATTTTTGAAACTGAATTTTTTGTACTACGTCAAGTTTATTATGAACATTGGGTTTAATTAAAATTTGATTCGTTTTATTATTAATTATATCATCTAATATGGGAATACCGTTATTTGCAGTTTCAACACTACTTGAATGGGGGGTATTAATTGTTTGTGAGGGTACTAGTTTAATGTTTTGTAAAATTTTAACTTTTTGATTTTCTTTTTCCAATTGGTTTTGATTACTATCTTTATCGTCTAGATTTTCAGAAAATTCTTCAAAATATTCAAAAATTTCTTGATTTACTTCTCCCGGATTATTTATGACTGATTCGGTTTCTATTGCGTTAACTGCTATGCGTGATAATGCGTCGGCGTTTGTATTGTACTTTCCTTTTTTATAAATTATCTCGTAATCAAATTCTTCTAACCTAAGTCGCCAGCGTACAAGTTTTGAACTTTGTTCTTTAGAATTGATAAGCCACATGAGTGGGCGATGGTCGGTGTAAATTACAAACTTTCTGCCGAATAAATACGGTCGGAAATGTTTACAAGCCCAAACTATTGCTAAAAGTTCCTTTTCAGTAACAGAGTATTTTATTTCGGTGCCGTTTAATGTTCTAGATGCGTAGGCCACCGGCTTATCACGGGGGATTTTTCCTTGAGAGAGAACTGCGCCGATAGCATATTGACTTGCGTCGGTTGTTAGTACAAAAGGTTTCGTAAAATCAGGATATTGTAATACAGGGTCATTGGTTAAAATATTTTTGCAGGTATTAAAACATTTTATAAAGTCATTGTCATGAGTTACATAGGCGTTTTTCTTTAAACATTTTGTTAATGGTTTAGTCAGTTTGGCAAAGTCACGTATAAACCTCC